AACAATTACTTTGCATTTGATCATGAAAAGGTTCTGATCATGCCTAGGATTGTCTTTATATAATATATTTCCTTATCAATGATGACTAGATTTTGATTCAAATACGCCATGCTTCCTATAAGTTACGTCATATTTCTCTCTCTTCATATTACGCCTCAACTTATATAATACCAATTGTGAGCTTATCTAATGAGCTTCATGGGTGATCACTGATTACATATCTTATTACACTGTTGTAGGTATGGTTTTTGGAGGAAGAGAAGTTGCCAGTTGTGCGCAGTTTGCCAGGAGGACAAAGCAAGTATACAATTTTAATGAAGTCGCCCTGGGAAATACTCCAATCACCTGTTGGATCCGGAGGAGTTATCAGCTTGTTTTCATCACATGGCATAGCAGATAATCTTAGTAATATGGGCGTTGAATACATCGAGGTTAGATTCTTATTTCCTTTTCTTTGCATTTGATATTGATGCCTTTTTATTTGACATTTCATCTTTTGACACATAACATAACCCTTTTAGCAAGACTCAGCAGAGAAAGTTTCATCAGGGTTTCTGGTTTTTGAACTGCTGCAAGCTAATTACGCGGGTTGTCACATTATTGAATGCTAAATTGTCTGGGGCTTAATGCCCATAACTTGAGTAGGCTAATGAAGGTTGGATGTCCATGTATAGGATGTCTTAGTAATTCTTTGACCTTTCTTTCTTTCTGATCTTGGACAGGCTTGGATTTACCGTTGTTTCAGTTAAGAGGTCAAATTTGCTTTTCAATTGGTTTTCTCTCAGCTCATGCAGAAAATATATTTAGAATTTCTAAGTCATTTTTTCCCATAATTGTTGTTCTAGATTTTCTATAATTGCTTTTGTTTATAGGATACAAGCTAGGTTGTTTAAATGGAGAAATATTTTAGGAGTTATTTGTGATTAGAAGATACCGCATAAGCCTAAAGGGATGCTTTATCAAATTATTAGAAGACCGGTCATATTATATAATAGTGAATGTTGCATTTTAAAGGAACAAGAAGAGTATAAAGTTGAAGTAGTAATGATAAGAATGTTAAGATGGATATGTGGGTATACACAAAAAGATAAAATCTAGAACAAAAGGCCATTGAAGGTTTCAGTGAGAAAAGTGGAACATATTATCTTAAGTCTTGTAAAAAGGGTGGAGAAAAAACAAGAAGAATATTCATGAAAGTTATTGAATGAGACTTCTTAGTTAACAATATTTTCACAGGTTTAGTTGCTGATAGAATATAATGATGTCGTGCAATTCATGTAACTGACCTTGTCTAGAGGAATAAAGCTTGTTGTTATTGTTGGTGGTGGTGATGCTTTGGCTTAGTATTTTCAACCTAGTTTTATGAAATGTTCAGCAAGAATTGTATCTTACTTGCATATGATACCATTTAATATTTTTATAACTGATTTATTTGTGCTGTACCTTGTTGCAGATATGCCGCCCTAGCCAAAAAAATGTCGGCGGAAACTCGCTCCTTCTCGGGTTTGTGAATTCCCAAGAAGCCAATATTGGGATCCAAATTTCTCCAACCGGAGGTGATTTAGATGAAAATGTAGACATGATATTCTCAATGGAATTTATGGAGGCGCTGATGAAGCAAATCAACAATCTCCAATTTAATGCAATCCCAAAGGCAAATTCTTTTGTTGAGAAAGTTGACAAAGATTGGGTTACTGTCACATCCTCCACCCCTAATTCATATGAGTTTTGTTGCAGTGTCTATAGTTCCTTGGATGTATGTTCATTAGATAAGGTTTGTGTCATAGAGGTTAGAGAGTAGTTGATAAATTTTTTTGATCTATGGATAGATTGTAAAATCATTGAAGGAAAATGTAAAAACAAGGTTGAAAAATGTGTTCAATGATAAAATCCATTGATGGTTCCAATATACTAAGATGGACTTGACAAGTGATACAAAATGTAACCGCAGGTGGGATGAATTATTGTTTTTTTTTTTTAATCTCTACGCTGTGCATCATTTTATATGTTTAATTTAACAGGAGCACAATGTCACGAGCTTAGAGTCTGGCGTAGCACACAGCGCCCGTGCGGCATTCCAAGGACCCCATAATCCTCGAAATCAGCCTTGCCACATGTGAATCCTACTGTTTTCGCCCTGCCATGGGCTCATCAGGGAGGCGGTACTAGCCCCCGACCAGTTGTGCATTTAGCCCGAAGACTAAGGCAGAACACACTCAAATGCTAATGCCGCCCCCTTTTCCCATATTTTGCGAGGCTAACCAGCGAATTGTTCATTATATTGGTCTTTACACGGTCACGAAAATATCATTCGTGACATTCTCCCCCACCCAATCTAGCACACCCTCGTGCTAGGGGAGAAAGACTTTGCCCAAAGATTGCCTGTACAGTACTGCCACACACACATCAGCTCACTGCTGAATGGCCATCCGAGTCCAACACACTACAGACCCACTCGCACCCGCGAGCCATCAGGAGTGGAGTCGACCACAGCCTACCTTCCCGCCCGAGTCCCCACTTTTGGACCCACCTGCACCTCGCAGGCCTTCTGGAGCGGTGCCAAGATTGACTAGTCCTGACACATGGGACTCCACAGGCACATGGCAAAAAGTACGTCCGGCTCTAATACCACTTTGTCATCAGCTTAGAGTCTGGCGTAGCACATAGCGCCCGTGCGGCATCCCGAGGATCCCATAATCTTCGGAATCAGCCTTGCCACATACGAACCCTACTGGTTTCGTCTTGCTATGGGCTCATCAGGGAGGCGGCACTAGCCCCCAACCAGTTGTGCACTTAGCCCGAAGACTAAGACAGAACACATCCAAATGCTAATGTCGTCCCCTTTTCCCATATTGTGCGAGGCTAACTAGCGGATCGTTCATTATATTGGTCTTTACACAATCACGAAAATATCACTTGTGACAACAAGGTCGTTAGATTTTTTTCTATCATTATTAATTTCTAAAAGAAAACATTGTAATAACTATTTATATGTTTACCATTAAATCTTTGACTAAAATATGATGAGTACGTAGTTTTTCAATATCGGAATTTGATATTGCATATTTTTTTATATATGATAATTAGAAGAGATATAAAAAAAACAGTACTAGATTTTAATTTTGAGTTGTTTGTCTAAGTTTTTTTTAATGAAAAAAATTACTTATTTTTTGAAATAATCAAGATCTAAATAGAAGCATTTTTTTTTTGGTTTTGAGAGGAAATTTTGAATTAATTTTAAAAATAATATCATATAATAAATGAAAAAATAGCATAAAATGTTGAGATATTATAAAATGAGAAAATAATAAATTATTTTTTATAAAAAAAATATTCACCAAAATATCATAAAATTTAAAAATAATTAAATGATAATTATTTTTATTTTTGTAACTAAATATTTCCTCTAATCCAAATATAAGCATTTCCCCTCAGTTAATATTAGTTAAAAATATAAATAATATAATATATGTATTTTTTTTTTCATTTTACTCCTTATATTTGCTAACAAAGATATTTGTGCAAATATATCTCTCACTTATCATAGAATGTATTAGTAATAGGAATTAAAGCCCTGTTTGATATAAGGTATTATATTTTAAAGGATTGAAATTGAGATAAAAACTGAGATTAGGAGTGAAAATAAATTTTAAAATTATGTTTGGTATGCCATGTGATTAAAAAAAATCAAATTGGGATTGAAAAAAAATTGCAAAAAAGACTCAAATATCCTCATCTATTTCCTTCCACCCGTGCTACAAACCAAAAATTGATCTTTCATTTCATCTTCATCATGCTTCACTTTTATCTTAGGAAAACATAAAAAACAACCATAAATGTATGCATAATAAATTAAAGATCTTGAGAAACATCAACCTACAAACTTAGGAAAATCCAACCTGAAATCATTGTTTCTACCTCGGAAAAGCACTAAATCATACAACAAAATTAATAAATTTGTGTTCAAGAATCAATCTCTCATGCTTAAGAAGCTAGCAATAAAGGAATCAAAGAAGAAGGCATTGACGGAGAGAACAATGGGAGGGTATTTCATGAGCAACCAAAAGAAACACAAAGTGGACTGTATAAGCGTAGATCTCCATCGTCACCGCTCTTCGAGCTTCTCTTCGTGACCACCACAAATCAATCATTCATCGATGCTCAGGTCCAAGCCAACCTAAATTGAAGCCATCGTTATTGAGAATAAGTTGAGGCGATCATTTTAAATCATAGGATCTGTAAGATGCACAAGCAATGTGAAGAGTGATCTGGATCTAAAGGGATGGCGATAGTGATGCGGCAAGAATGATGAAGATGGTGGCGTAGCTAGAATGTCAAGAAGGAAGGGGCAAGGCGCAACAAGAACGTCAAGAAGGAAGGATCACATCGGGAGGAAGGAAGGCAGGTGAAGAGCTGGAGAGAGAAGGGCATTTTCTTAAAAATATCAATCTTAGAACTATTTTTCAATACTACAAGGATCATAATATTAGATAATCTCACATAAAGTAAGACTGTTGTTGGGATTGAAATGCTCAATGCCTTATACCAAACATAAATGAGTGAAATTATTCAACATCAAACCCTATCTCGCCCTCTCAATTCTTCATGCCAAACATAGTTTAAGAGTTAAAAAATAACATACATTCTTATGAAAATAAGGACATTATTAATATGTAAATTTTTTTTAAAAAAAATTATTTATATTTTAGATTAAATGGAGTATATAGTATTATCTATTTTTTATAAAATTTCTACAAAATAAATTCTATTTTACAAAATTCTAAACTATTTAAAAATTATTTATTTTTTAACATTAAATAAATGGGCATTTATCTAGAATAAGATTTCAGTCCCTTAAAGAAAATATAAATATCTCTTGAACCTCTAACAAATAATAATTATTATATAACATTCCCAAATCTAGCTAAAATACCAAATCTCTTTAATTTAAACTACAAAAACAAAATTCGGGCCACCCCTTCTGTGCATTTGGGGTTTGATCTCTAGTTAAGAAAAATCGTAAACTGGAGCAGGATAACCCAGCAGCACTTCCAAACAGGCCCCAATTGAAACAGCCTTGTGAACCCTAGTTCGATAAGAAAACCCTAGCCGCAATTTACGGTTTCCTGCGCTATATAAACTGGTCCATAGCTTCACGCCAATTTGAAGTTGGGGGTGAAGCAAACCCTAGTTTGCAGTGAGTGATTGCCTCTTCTTTATTTTTCTACCTTTCATATTTCTTCACGTTCAACTTGGTCCCCATTGAAATGGATGTATCTTGTCTGAATCTAAATTCTTGTTACTGTGCCCTTTTAAAGAACCAGGTAAGCGAAAATGGCCGTGCCGCTTCTTGCAAAGAAGATCGTAAAGAAGAGGGTCAAGAAGTTCAAGAGGCCTCAGAGCGACCGCAAGATCTCTGTCAAGGTATCGGAATGTATTCTCTTGGTTATGTGCGTGATATCTGTTCTAGATTATATATTTTGTTTGAGTAATTTATCGAGATTTTTAGCATGTTTCTGAAAGTTTTAACGTGGATCATATGAACTTGATTACTTCATTGAGGATTGGTAAGGACATGATGATAGTTTTGTCGCCCCAGTCTTAATTTGCACCACAGGGTGTAAGATGGTGACTGACATTTTTTATCTGATCCTAATGTTTTATTACAACCTTTTTTTCAAGCCACTGCATTGCCTAAGTTGTTGTTCAGTTCTGTAACAGTGTCAAAATTTTCTCGCCTAACCTTTTGACAGCTAGGCTGGAAGGTTCGGCTTTTTAATGTATTCTTTTCTTGCCCCCTTTTTAATGCTTCGTTAGGCTTTGAGATGGGATTTGAGGATAAGATTTTGACACCCAGTCTTACCTGCTATTTTGATGCATGGTGAATGATCGACTATCTGATCCCATCTACCTACTGTGAAGCATATTTTTTGCTTGGTTAAGTGGATCTACTTAGGTTTGTCTCATTAATTATAAATTGATTGATTAATGATCCATTCATTCGTTGTTTTTTGTCTTTTCATCGGTCTTTTTTGATCAAGGGATTTGATGATAACTTTTGACGCCCAGTCTTACGTGCTCCTTTGGTGCAGCGTGGTGAAATTAACTGTCTGATCCCTTGATGACCATTAATAAAATAATACTTTAAACATGTATTCATATACGTTTCATCATTTTGTATCCCTTTGTATTTTTATTTTTATAATAATTTGAAACCCTGTTTCTTCATTATAAATGCAAAGAGATATGATGATGTATACCCATCTATTCTGTAGCAGAATGATGAATATCTAACATGCACTACCATCTGATCTCTTGCTAATTATTTTTTAGTTAGAATGTTTCTAACAAATTTTCTGATGTTTTCCTTTAAAGATATTCCAATAAATTATTTGTTATATACCATTGCCTCATGCAACTGATGATGCAAAAGTTGTCCAAAATTCTGACTGAACTGTGATTATTATACAAAATATCACCATCTTTCGGCTGAAGTTGCATATGATGAATTGTTACTACTTTTCTGTTTTGATGTGGTATATTTAAACATCATTTGTATTTGCCCGTGGTATCTGATGTCCAGACTTTTGGCTATTCCTGTGGCTGGACATTTCGTTTAAAGGGCATATAGAGATGTCTTACAGGCCTTGCGACACAGTTTGCTTGCTTATACTCCCAGCCTTCTGTTACTATACACCTGTGAACATTTTTAGAAATTGAATTTGAAATTAATTAATGTATCATGTTTTGATTAGCTTCAGTCATGATTGTGACTTTGGAGTAATGCCCCCCATGCTATTTGTTTTCTTCCTGAATTTGTCAACTGTTGAATGAGTTACAATTGTTTGGTTACTCTTCTGTAAATTCACTTGCAACAGGAAAACTGGCGCAGGCCAAAGGGTATTGATTCTCGCGTCAGGAGAAAGTTCAAGGGATGCACTTTGATGCCAAACATTGGCTATGGCTCAGACAAGAAAACCCGGCACTATCTCCCAAACGGTTTCAAGAAATTTGTTGTGAACAACGTCAAAGAGTTGGAACTACTTATGATGCACAACAGGACATACTGTGCTGAGGTTGCTCACAATGTGTCCACAAGAAAGAGAAAGGAGATAATTGAGAGAGCTGCTCAACTTGACGTTGTTGTGACCAACAGAACAGCGAGACTACGTAGCCAGGAGGATGAATAGGATGGCTATTTTGTATCTTGTAGTGACCCTTTGATTCACACCTGAAGGGCTAGACCTGCATCAATTTCTTTCTTCAAGTGATTGTAGGTAGCATACACAATATACGTTATGATAATTATTTGAATTATTCTATGGTTGACTCAATGTCTGAATTTCTTATGAAACATCTATTTATGATAAACCATTAAATGGAGCTGTACAGATGGTTTCTAATTCTGGTAGCTGTTGGAGAAGAGGCTACGAACTGCAGGAAGCAATTTCTTTGAGTTGTTGCGAAGATGATTGATTTCCCTACTGCCTGGCGTAACTTAAAATTTGTAGCACTTGGTCTAAGTAGCTGGAAAAAAGGCTTGGTATAAATATATAATGACAAGTTTTATCCCACCAATGGGGTTGCCGGGTTGGTATCAATTATCATGATATTATACTCGTATAAAATTTGTTCTAAAATTTTTTATACGGTCATGACTGACCAACGAGGAGTTTTTCGAATACGAGGTCAGTTCGATACTAACATTATTGTGGCTGTGGTCAAGCAAAAAGGGTGATTACAAGGGGAAATTCACATCTATTCTCCTTCTCTACAGTCTGGAAATTTTTTAATTCTTGATTTTTTTTTTTAAAACTTTAATGGCTAGTTTGACAGTAAGAAATTGAAAGGAAGTGAAAGTAAAAGTGAAAGGGGAACTCATAAATTAGTGTGTTTGGTGTGCATGAAGTGAGTTCTCTAGGAAAGTGAGTTTCGTAAACTCTGATGGAATTGAGTTCTTTAGGTAGATCCATGAAATTGAGTTCCTACCTCATTTCCTCTTTTATTTTGTCAACTTTACCCTCAACCTCTCTCTTGCCACGTCCCAACTTTTGATGAATGACTCACTCTCCCTCTTCTCCTGAACAACGGCGATGCCCACCTCTGCTGCTGGTCTCACATCCACCAACTTACACCTCCATCACTGGGCTTGATCTCTCCGATTCCAATATTGTCAGTCTATTCTCCATCCCATTCTCTACAACTTCATGCACTTACATCGCATCTGTGCAAATATAATATTAAATAAAATTAGTGGAGGCGTGAATCTTGGTCGAAGAGGAACGCGGCGGTGGAGGAGTGCATATGTGCTATTTTCCTATTGATGCTATTGTTGAATATCTCATATTTGTAAATCTAGTTATTGCTCTGGGTGTATATACATATGGGTATGTAAGATTGCAAGGTGAAGGGCCTAGAATGATGAGGGTTCAACAAATGAGAAGGAAGTTGAAAGCTTTGGTGCCACTATTCTAGTACATAAAGCAAACATTATCAATGTTGGAAGCTTTGGTGTCCATGGTGATGCTTGTTGTGGAAGATGAAGTGGCTATGTTGAGAATAAGGGACAATGACGGTGATGCTTGCTTTGCTTCAATAGTTTTTTTTTTTTTTCAGAATTTTGGTCATTTCAAAATATAAATATATTTATTAAATAAAATTTACATCTTACTTTTCATGTGCATACTAAATATACTTTTTATCTCACTTTTATAGTATCAATTTTGCACTTTTGTGATTTAGTGTAAATACCAACTTTTATTCCCCTTGACAATACAAGATGACACGAACAGAAGGGGGGAAAAAAAATACAATTATTGGTTTTCTTGTGGGATGTAAATGAGACGCTTATTATATCTTTGATATATTAGAGTTTTTAATGCTACTTTGCCTTTCTATCTCCAATATATATATATATATATATATTAGTATTTTGAGACTCAATTAGAAATAGGCAAATATAGCTCTTACAAAGGTGTTTCAATTTTCTATACAGCTCATCTGCTTTTTTTTTTTTTTAATAGTTCACTGTGTTTTCTCTTCAAAGAAGTACACCTTAGAGAGTAGAGTGAAAAAAGTGTTAGGATTTGCCACAAAAGAATTAGCGTTATGATACATGAGATTGAGAGAGGAAGAAAAAGGATTCGTTGGAATTTAAAAAATAAATTCATGTGTGACACATCTCTGTACTTGGTTAATAAAGAGAATTTTATTTTTATTTGGTGAGGACTCTTTATTTTGAATTTTTATTTTGTATTTTGGGAGAGTGTTTGTGACTTGCGTTAATATTTTTTTTTCCTCTTCTATATTGTGGTCATATAAACATCCTTTATTTTAATTTTTAATACTTATAGTATCATCAATTTAGATGAGTTGGATCTTAAAATAGTTATAAAAATACTTATATATTATCTATCAATAAAGTTCTCATATCAGAACACTTTGTTGGTTTCAATTAATTTTAACGTTAATTTATATGACTTGTAAGATAATTAAAGGAAATTTAGACTTAGATTTTGCATTGTCATCAATAAGCATAAATTGATTTTATTGAATAAAATACTATTCAACAACTTGGCCTATTAGCTCAGTTGGTTAGAGCGTCGTGCTAATAACGCGAAGGTCGCAGGTTCGAAACCTGCATGGGCCATTTATACATTTTTTCCCCTTGATCATGTTTATCTGATTTGTAAGAATTAAATTACTAAAAAATTTGATTATAAATTGCTAAAAAAATAAATTGATAATTCCCTTATCTAAGATAAATAAAACCACTTTCCCCCCTCCTTTTCATGACTAAGTAGTAGATTACTCGCTTATTGTAAATCAATTAAGCTCCTAAATTTATAAAAGGAGTATATTTTTTATCCATCTATCTTTTTAATATAGATTTGATTTAAAGTTTTATAGTTTCATTAAAGTGTTGGAAGACTCCATAATTAGTAGTGAGCCAACAACTATCACTTGCGTAAACAAAAACAACCCAGGGAACAAGGCCGATCCTAAATTAAGGAATTGCAATGCGAGAAAAAAGAAATGAAGAACCCTAAAACTTGTGGCAAGTAAGAATAAGACATGGCATATTCCTTCCTCTCGCCTTGATTTTGAACTGTGAAGAACGAATCACCCTTTGTTTTTTCCCTTTTTCTTTTGACCATTCATCAAACATGGTAAGCAAGAAACCCTGGCTTTCATTGATGTTCTCGTACTCGTAATCTCGTATATAAGAAACTTAATGATTACTTTTTGAGAATGGCAGCCAAAGACTTCAAAAAAAAGATTCTGTTAAATCAAGATCTCATTGTAACCTAGATTTCTAGATTCAATACTCATCCTCCTACATTTCAGCATTTAAAGTCTTCAAAAAAAAAAAAAAAAAAACAAGAAGAAGAAGAAGAAGAATCTTGATTTAGTATTAACCTTCATGGAAGTTCTTTAATTGTCATTCTCCCTTGCTTCCAGCACAGAAGAACACGCATCCTAGATTACAAGTTTCCTTCGTTGTATTCAAGTTTCTGAAACATTTCTTTTCTCGTGCTTGACCAGATCTTAGGGCAAATAGCATAAAAAGATGTGATGGGAGGTAAGCAAATGATAGAATTGACAAGACTAATCATGTTCTTGGAAGTATAACTTAACGAACAAGTTTTTTGTAAGATGATGCAAATTAAAAATTTATTTAATATCAACCAAATTTATTAAAAAAAATCATATAATTTAGTATTGATTCAATTTGAGTAGGACCAAACTTAAGTAACAGCCTACGGCCAAATCAAATTATTGTTTAAATAAGAACATATTCAAATCAAATCACGGAATTCATAATTACTTTTGTCAACTGTGGATCCCTCGCACAAAAGCAACTGGTTATGCATGCGACTGCACATAACACTAATCAATCAATAAAACATCAAAATATCCATATGGAAGTTTCTAGGTCACTGCAGGCCTATTGCTCAACATTATTCAGAAGAGGAACCCAGAATACGGCCTAAAACCAGGAAATTACGCTACTTGCACAAACAAACGCATATGTGGTTCCAAAGACTCGAATTTATTATCACGTACTACAGATTTCACTGTATATAAACATAAACCCCGTATGGATCTATCTAAGTGAGCCTCTCGCCCTTTACATGTAGATCCAAATATCACAAAATTCTTTTAACAAAATCCTCCCAAGTCTGCATGAGCATGACCCTTGGAAATCAGTTCAGACCCCTTCTCTAGTCGCTGTCCCTGCAGAAGATACCAGACAGAAATCGTCAACTAAAACTAAACTTGTCAGAACAAATTGCAAATGATGCACCCACAGAGACTCAGAAAATTGATGAATTGATTTATACACCTCCACATAATTACTTTTAAACATCATATAAACAGTACTTCAGTGCAGACCACTCTTCCCTTCAACCTAGACCACTCTTGCCAGCAATCTAGAATTTAGCTAACAAGATCCAACGTGACACGTAGGAAAAACATTTAAACAGTACAGGTGACAAGACAATGTTAAACCCCTCATTAAGCATACCAATCCAGAATGATTACACTTTAGCTTAGGAATTGTGCCATAAAAGAAAATGTTCCCGCATAACACGCTGATGTGGAGTTCAGAGCAAAGTTCTATTAACCTTCCTCTATTGTCACTTTCCTCCAACAAAACAGGATGATTTTCCCTTTCAATATCCCCGAGTAAAAGCAGTAAAATGAAGAGATTTAATAACTTTTTGAAACAAGATTAAGGATATCTGGCTATAAAAGCTAAAATATAATACCTAGCAAAAACTAGCACGAAAGCCTGAGTCATGAATGCATACATGATACTGCTATTTCTCAGAAATTGGGAAAAGTAAAGGGAAGCAACAACTACAACAACAAGGCATTCAAGAGAATGCCTAAGAGGGATTTTCATCTACAGTTATTCGTGTATTCAGCATCCAAGAATAGTCATAATAGATTAAGTGATTAACTGATGCCCAGATCAATTTCATATCATTAAACACTTAAAAGGCAGCTATGAACTTTTAGTAGACATGGCCTTAAACAAAAAATTTTGCCACTGTAGAGCCAGTTCTGCCACCATAGGATTCATTGATCCTGCGTAACAGTAACCAGATACATACTGGACATGGATTAAAATTAAAATAAAAGACACCACCCCAAAGGACCATAACAATCAGATAAAGATAGGCAATAATAATGAATTAAAAAACAGTTAAACCTCTCTTTTATAACCTTAAATAGTTATACAAAACAAAGACCCAAGCCAAGCCAAACCAGTTGAGAACAGTGTAACAAAAAGAAACAAATAAAAAGCACCAATGTCTTAAGACTGGTAGTCCCAAAAAATTGAATTTCAGTAACAAAACAACTTCCGACCTGCAATTATCTGTTGGAGCCTGACAGCAGTTCAAACAATCCACAACAATTCAACCAAGCGGTCTTTTGCACCACACGTGGAGCTGATACTAACTGAGGCTGCATATCAGTTCAGCAAAATAAAAATGTTCAAGTTAACTCCAATAAAATTATTTTATAAATCATCAAGTGCATGATGAAACTTATAATCATAATGATACCTGATTTTCAGAGCACTCTGGAGACTCAGAACCTTTAGCAGGATCTGCATCTGGAGTAGATAAAGTGACAGTGGGATTTTCAGATGCTGAAGCTGATACTTTACTGCCATATTCTGTTGGTGGAGATTCCACGACATGTAGTGTTGTAATGTACTGATCGGGTGAAGGAAAAACTTTATCCTCATGTTTCTTCATGGCAAGATCCACTGCTGCCGACTGAGACACTGTTGACTCCTCCAGCAAAGCACTTCCATCATCACTGGTTTTCACCTCACACAGAGAGGCCACTTCCTTCACTGAATTAACATCAGGTTCCACAACAAAATTACTAGTCTCCCTGACTGCAACATTTTCAGTAGTTAAAGAATTTTTGGTGGATGAAGAGTTAACAGTGTAAGCTAAATCTTCAGGTATAACAGCCATTTGTTTTGAATTATTGGGGTCGTCATTTGAGTTATTCTCGTTAAAGGATTCAACATGTGAAGTACCATTGGAGTTTCCATCCCCATAATGTGATTCCTTGACAGATTCAACATGACCAACTCTTTCATTAATTTTATCAGAACTCTCCTCATCTTCCAAATTACTCACTATCTTAACAGCACTAACTTCCCGCTCTTTTACTAATTCTGAAGTAAAATTGACATGTGCAACACTATCATTTATTCTATCAGAACTCTTCTCAGATTTCAAATCACTGACAATCTTAACTACATGCCCGCCGGCCACTTCTGCACTAGAATCAACAGAGTAAGTTAAAACTTCAGATGTAACTGCCCTTTGTTCTGAATCGTGATTTTCATTGAGGGACTCAACATTTAAAGTACCACTGGAGTTTCCATTCCCATCAGTTGATTCCTTCAAAGATTTGACGTGCTCAACACTATCATTCACTCTATCAAAACTCTCCTCAGATTTCAAATCACTCTCTATCTTAACAATCCTATCCTCCTGTCCTCCAACTGCTTCAGCATTAGTAATCTCACTAGGGACTTCTTCAATGGATTTAATGTCAGAAAGAGATGGATGAGTAACTGATCGGTCTCCTTCCTCCACTTCTTCACTCTCTTCATTAAATGGGTGATGATGGTCATCGTGATCATGATATGCAGGTGAACTACCCTCCCCACCATCACTTCCTTTCTCATCTTGTGACTTCAAGTCATCATTTCCTGACAATTGTTACTGAATCAATCAGACCAATATCAAGCAAAAACAACCAAATTAACTAATTACCAGCAAGCCAACCAGCCCAAACACAATACCCAATCATTACATTCAAAGATATATATAGTCCAGCCTAGGGAAAAGACAGGCAAGATGCATATTCTCAGGAATCGCAATCAAGTTGACACAAAGCAAGAAGAACAAGAAATATCGATCTGTGATCAATCCCAGTTCACTGAAAGACTAAAAAGTACTAAAAATTGATAAGTCGAAAATTGAAAAGCCACCGATAGTACAATCGAGTTCGAGTGAAACGACAGGGAAGCCGCATATTCTCAAGAATCCCAATTATGCTCGGTATATATAAAGCAAGAAGAATCGAAAGATACACATCCATCCAAATTGACCAAAAAAGACCGAAACCCAAAAAAAATAAAATAATTAAAAACAACAGATATAATCAGCAACTGAAAAGGATGCTTGGCTAACTAATTGCGAGTAGTTTATGCATTAATAATGTTCGGTACCGAACGCTATCAAGCAAAATTACCTTGGGGATTATCAGATGACGAGTTGATGTTGGCCTCCTTTTCCTTCTTTTTCTTGGCAGCTTTTCTCTTCTTAGCCCCTGAAGGCATGATTGGCCCCCTCTGTCCCAGTACCCACAACGAATCTAAACCCCTATCTCTCTCTTACTTTCCGCGTGGACACGATTAAGATGGGTTCGTACGGCTAAAAACACAAATGAAATAGAATCATCTACAGCAATCTTCCCTACGGATTGTTGGAACCAGAGATGTGGTAGCGAGTTATGAGAAGGTGAGTGAATTCGTCGTCTTCTCCTTCCCTCCCTCGCGATGCTTCGCCTCTGTGCACTACGCTATCAAGTATCTATCGAGTACAGAAACGCAGTGAGACTTCGTTAGGACTTTTTTTTTTTTGGAACTGAGAGGGGACTTTATTATTAGTTATTAGTTATTACGAAGAAGCAGTGTCTTTAGGCAAGTGTCATGAGATCAGGATCGTGTCCAGAATTTCAAACTTGGAATCCATGTGTAGGGTAGGCAAAGATTTTAATTTTTAACAATTTTTTTCTTATAATATTATGATAATTTTCAACCTTGTCCAAAATTTGTCGGCCAAAGCCAGTTCTAATTAATTTTCATTATGAAATTATATCGTTTTTTAAAATTAGTTTTAAGCATGATTTATATATTTATATTGTTTTATGTATTCTGATATTTCATAACACAGTGACGTTCTAGACAAGAATATCTCTCCCAGAATTTTTTTCATTTGCGTGGATTTAAATCTGAGACTATTTATTTAAGTGATCATAATCCCTTTTGGCAAACTTGTTGGTCATTTATAATTTTTATTCTTAAAGATAATTAAACTTTTGATTTGGTTTCTTATAATAATAATGTATTATTTATTACTCTAATATGGGATTTAAGTATTTGCGTGACGATCGGAATAAGTTATTTTCTATCTTGTGAAATGTGAATAGCACAATTTCATATTTTTATATTTTATTTGATGATTAATATTGATATTAATTTCAGCGTCTCAAATTTATTATTTATTTTTATTTACCATTAAAATAATTTAGAAGTACTTTTTTAATAAGAAATTAACCACCTAAATTGATTAAATGAGGACTATGTTCACAAAATAAATATTTTTATCTCATGGGGGATAATATTTTTTTTAGATTAATAAGCAATATATTTTTTAAATTATTGTTTTAATAATATTTCAAATTCTAAACTCATAAAACATACAAAAATTTATTTTAATTTTTAAATTTCTAACACATAAAAACATAGCAGTTAAGTAATAGAAAATTGTCATTACTTTTTAGGTTGTGGAATCCACCAACAATGAGAGGGAATGAATGACATGTTAGCCTGTGAGGGGGCCTCATAAGCTAAAAAGTAAGGGCATTTTTTAATGCTTGATGATAAGATATCAAATGCTCAAAAATTAAAAATTGATTAAAGTTTGTACATATTTTTTAAATTTAAGGTTCAGAATGATATTCATACAATATTTTATGAGATATATTAGTTATTAACCATATTATTTTCTTAAATTAATTTTATGCATTCAAAATTTTGTTTTTTAAATATCAAATGAAATTAATAACAAATAATTTGAGATTAATTATATTGAGTGGACCAGGATGGAGATGTAGGAAACGTTTGGTGTAAATTTTTTTTTTTATCACCTTAAATTCTCTTGAATGCTTTCGGATTTCGGGATTTAATATTGAGGAAATTATCAAATTAAACGTGTAACAAGAAACTCTGGTGAAAGGAAACAGAGAGGTCAGGAATCTGCCAACTCAGCGGGTCTCAATGGTGCATTCATGTGATGTTATTGACTTCTTATGACGTCTCACATCCCCTAATGAACTTGCCGACAACTGGTGCGTTTGGGTAAACAACTTTTTGACATTTGAAAAATATTTTTAAATTTTTTAAATGTTTAAAATTATTTAAAAAATTTTAGTTGGATAAAATGACTTTTCAGATTTGAATTAAAATAAAATTTAAATGTGAATTAAAATTAAAATTTTATTATAAGTTGAATTTTAAATGTCAGATGTAAGTTAAACATTTAATCAGGAGAATAAATTTATATTTATTTTTTTAATTGACCGTGCTGCCTTTGAATTTTTTTTTTTTTGGATGAGTTCACTTTATAATCCTCCAATTCTTTTTCATCTTTGCTCCTCTCAACACCATATGTGCTCCTTGTGTGGTAATAAATGTTGAATTATTTACTGCATAATCTTTTTCCAACATATTATACTTCATATTTTTTATTTTTATTATTTAACATGTTAAATTTTATGTTATTACAATTTTTTTACATTTTTTAAACATTTTTAATATATTATATTTATATAAAAAATTAAAAATAATTATAAATTAATATATTTTTTAATTATTTTATATATAAAAGCACAAATCATAATTAATTTAAATAATTTTTAATTTATCAAATTGACTCTTGAAAAAATATATTCAAACATAAATTTCATTACAATAAATAATTTTCACTGAACAAGCTTTTGTCAGATAAACTTTTAACAAATGAACTTTTAACAAATGAATTTTTAACAAACTTAAAACCAAACACACTCTACATTTTAGTCAATGGAATTGAAATTACAAACAAAATATTTATAAGTCACAAAATAGTCATCAAATATATTTTAAAATAATCAAAATAGATTACAAAAATAATGAAACTTTTAATTTTTTAAGTTTTATTTAATTATTATTTAATCTCTTAAGTTTAATTGTTATCAATTTGATCTCTTATATTTTGTTAAATTATCAGGTGAGTCCTTTAAATTTTATAACACAAATTTACTATAAAATAATCTAATATGTAAAGTATATTGATAATTTAACATGTATATAGATAAATAAAAACTAATTAACCCTCAAACTAGCTTAATTTTTATCAATATAATCTCTTATAATATATTTTGTTCGCTTATTTTTAAAAATTTTAAGAGTTTATTTTTTCTTACCTAAATAATTATATTTTTTATTAATCAACGTGGCTGCAATCAAATATTCTAGAGATGTAATCTTATTTTTAAACAATAAAAAACAAATCAACAATAAAAGTAAGTTATCCTATTTTTAAACAAATCTCATTTTCTAAAATGTTTGAAAATATAGATTTGAGGAGACTTGCTTGGTTCGCTCCCAAATTAAAGCTCATCATATTTGCAGAGGAAGACATGCAAGCCACTCTCCATGTGATGAATTGATGATGGTTTAAAGAGGAATATATCAAAAGGGAAGGGGGGGGGGGGGGACTTTTTTTTTTTTTAATAAAACTGGATATCAATAGTTAATAACAAAACAAAGCACGGAACAACAAACAAAACACAAATAAAAAACAATGCTCTTTCATTATCCTCCATCCCTAAGATTTGAAAATAGATGATGATCAAAGAGACAAAAACTATTATCCAAAGTATGTGATAATCTAGTGAAAAAATCTACATCCTTATTTTTGTCCCTATCAATGTGATTAAATGTAATAACTTCAAGTTTTAAGCAAAAAATTAAACTATATGAAAATGCATTTAACGTGTATTTTTATTAATTTTGGAGCAAACTTAGCAAGGAAGATAATTGAGTCTAGTGGAAAGCAAGCAATCACTTATTTACTTAATTACTTAATCTTGGGTTTGAATCCTCACAATGCAAGAAGGGAATTTTTATTTTTCATTGCTTAATCAAAATTACCTTTATACCCTCCACTTAGTTAGATTTTTGTCCTTATCTTCTTTATTTCTTCATGTTCTAGACCAGAGGAAGGGAGAGTTGGAGATTTTTTTTTGGTTTCGATTCCAGTAGCTTCGAATCTCATGTTAACTTTAGTATCTCAATTTTCATAAATCAAACAAGATTCAAGGATAGTGATGTGTGTAACTAAAGAATCCATGATTAAATGTGAGACCTCAATTACCTCAAATATAGGCAGACGCACAATTCACTAGACCCCTAAATTCTTCAAAGAATGCAGAGATCATGGAGATAAATAAAACTTTCATGTTTCTAGTTATCGACTGATCGGTTTATATGGACTAGATCAGTAACTGCTATAATAAATAAATAAATTAATTAATTATATTATATTATCTCTGACTCAATCAGTTAAGAGATAGAAAATAATTGACAACTATTGGGTTATAGGTTGGACCTTTGCCCATTGGGCTCACCTATGTAGTCTGCCTATTGCGATTTACACAAGATCATAAAGACCAATCTATTTGGGCTTATTAATTAATATAAATTTATAAATAAATATTCCAACAATTTTTCACTTGGATTGCATTAATTGAGTAAGTTGTATAAATAAGTCACAAATAAAATTTAGAAAATGAAATTTCACAAAATCACTAGATCCTATAAGGAAACAAATGATATAATGTTTTATAATTTAAATAAAATATGAAATTTTATTCCAACATAACTCAGTAAGATAACAACATAAATCACTGATTCTTGTGGAGAAACAAATGACATGCATAGCGTACCATAACAGAATCATTGAATCTTATGGGAATACAAATGATATAGATGCATTTTACTGAACTAAACATAAGATGGGTCTTTTGACCACAACTCGATAAAGAGATGACACAAAGTCACTAAATCGTATAGGAAAACAAGTGACACAGGGTGCTCTAACACAAATCATTGAATCCTATGGGGAGACAAATGATATAAAGCACCACAAATCTCTGAACCTAAATTAAAACTCAATAGAGAAACAATACAAGATCACTTAATCCCAAGAGGAAATAAGTGATACAAGATGCATAAAGACAAATCATTGAATCCTATGAAAAAACAAATGATATAAAGCATCTCATTATTTCTAAAACAAGAACTGAGCATAATAGCAAAAATAACCTTAAACCATCAAATGTTCTTAAAAGAACACAACTCAAACTCCCACCGAACCAAGGCTATCTTAAAATTTTAATAAAACCCACATAGGTAAGCCTTTGGTCATACAAATGCATAAGCATACATTTACTACAGAAGTGAACTACATGAGTATGAGTGTCTATAATCTTCTCCAACAAAATCTTTGAAAGAAGCTCAAGGTAGACAAAATATTGCATTCATAATTGGAGGAAATAACAAAAAAACATGTCCAATACTAATTTCTTCAACTATATAACCTAATGAAAGGCTTTACAATAAGCGATATATATATATATATATATATATCTATATATATATATATATCTATATTTTAAACTAAGGTAGCTATGAGTGTTTATAATACACTCTTTTTTTTTACAAGATAGCTCCTCTCTGTATTATGGAATACATATGATGCACATTCTAAATCCTCATAGTCATAAATTTAGAAGAGGATTAAATTTTTAACAACCAACAT